GGAAGAGATCAGATAAAAAATCTAGAATTGATTACATATGAGTCACAGAAGATTTAGTACCAGATACTATCTACGCGTCTACGAATAAAGTCCACATATTTGAAACTGATCATTCAGCTGTAACAGTATATTTCCAAATAGATGACCTGTTTCATACAAAACAATTATTTAAAAAGAAAAAATATAATAATAACAATTTGAAAGTGGATTATAAGAAAATAGATAGTCAATTATGGGAAACATATGCAGAAAAAATAGAAAAGTTATTGGATAAAGAAAAAGATATAATTGATAACGTAGAAATTTTGATCAATAATATAAATAGAATATGGAATACAATTCGAGATACGTTTAAAAAAGCTAATAATGAATTGCTGAAAAAGAAAGGTAACCCGAACAAAGAAGTGCTACCAAAAACAATTGTGTTTTATAAGAGATTTTTACATAAATTATCATATATTTTAACAAATTTATTTAATGGAAAAAAAGATCATGAGTTTGAATTTAACTAATTATAGAGAGTGTAAAAAATTTATAGAAAAGCATTATGAAACAATATCAGAAATATGTTTTAAATTTGCAATAGACATAGATGGACTGCTCGACAAAAATATAAAAGAGTTTAAAGAAATAGTCAAGATAGCCTTTAAATTAGTTCAGGTGAATTTTGCTGAAGAAAGTAAAATATATAAAGAAGAGAAAATGAAGTTTTATATCCAATGACGGTGTGAGGATCTACAAGATAATAAAAAAAGATTCTTAGATTTCATGTTGAATAGAAAAAGAAGCAAAATTGTTTTGGATAAAATAGTGATAGAAAAAAATTCAGTAAAACAATTAATTTCAGATGAGAAATTGATAGAAAATGAGTTGATCGAACATTTCAGATCATTTGCGGGAAAAAAGTTGAATTCAAATGAAAAGTTAAAAGAAAGATGGATTCGTCAATATAGCCCTAAACAAGACATAAATGAATGTTGGTATAACGAGGTTATTCAACCTATTAGTAAGAGTGAATGGGACCATATGATTAGACAGCTAGCAAATGATAAAGCGCCAGGAATCTCCCAAATATTGAATGAAATGCTCAAACACATGGGAACTTCTAGAGCTCCGAACAGGTCAGCCAAATTCAGGTAACCTGACCTGACCTGACCTGAAATTCAGGTCAGGTATGAAGATTGACCTGACCTGATTGACCTGTTGACCTGAAACTATTGATTCTACTATATAATAAAAGTGAGTTGCAGTATTGCGATTCACTTTTTTATATTGATTTTATATAATAAAAGTGAGTTGCAGTATTGCGATTCACTTTTTTTATATAAAATATATATATAAAAGTGAATCGCAATACCGCAACTCACTTTTTTTATACAAAATCAATATAAAAAAGTGAATTGCAGTATTGGAGATTAACTTTTTTATATGATTTTAATATAAAAATGTTGAATCGCAATATTTCGAGAAAAAACGTTGCGAAAACGTTTTTCATAAAAAAATGTTTCGTAACGTTTTTTTTTTGATATTTCAATAATAACGTTGCGAAAACATTTTTTTCATAATGTTATATTAAAAAAAACGTTTTGCAATATTTTTTTTCAATATCTTAATAAAAAACGTTGCAAAAACGTTTTTAGTTTTTCATAATATTATATTAAAAAAAAAAGTTTTGTACCTTTTTTTTTCAATACTTTAATAAAAATAGTCCTGAAATTTTTCAGGTTTCAGGTCAGGTCAGGTCAAACAGACAACCTGATATAACCTGACCTGACCTGACCCATTCGGAGCTCTAGGAACTTCAATGAAAAGTGTCATATTAAAATTAGCAAATTTATGTTTACAAGTTGGTAATATCCCTGAAGAATGGAGACATGCGTTATTGTATCCTATCCCGAAGACAATGGATTGGAAATACTCATTAACAAAAACTAGACCAATAATCCTTCTAAAAATCTTGAGAAAAGTGTTAGTGAAAATTGTTACAAAAAGATTATCTAAAGTTATTGCAAAGCATAATATATTAAAAGGAGGTAATCACGTGGGGCTACCTGGTGGATCTACAGAGGCACCTCTAAGAATCATTAATACATGTATCGAAGATGCAAAGAAGAATAATAAAGAGTTATGGTTGACTTTCCAGGACCTCTCTAAAGCTTACGATATGGTAGATATTAAGATGCTTAAATTAGTATTATAAAGAATTAAGATTCCAAAGGTTTTGATCTGTTTGATGATTAACTTATTTACAAATAGTAAAAAAAAGTGTTATAAAAGAAAAAAGAATAATGAAACAATATACGTCTATTATAGGAATAGATCAAGGTGAGGTCATTTCACAGCTGCTATGGACAATTTATTACGATCTATTGCTCGCAAAAATTAATTCATTAAAAATGGAATATGAAATTGAGCATTGCTTTAAAAGTAATGTACAATCAGAGCAAAGAAAAACTCAAGATCAATATATCATCACAGTCATACATGAATAACGTCACATGGATTACTAAAAATAAAGCTCAGTTAGAGCAGATCTTGAAAATTGCAGGTGAATTCAACATTATGAATAATATACAAACAAATTATGATAAGTTTGAAATGATAACGAATAAAAAGTTAGATAAAGATATTGTTGAAGTTAATTTCAGATCGTCAAAAAGAATGGTTAAACCATTAACATCAAAAGAATCTGTGAGAATTTTAGGTGTTTGGATTAATTTAGATTTAAAAACTAATTATGTCTTTAATCAATGCAAGGATATTATTAAAAGATATAATAAAACAATTAGCTTCAAACAAATAACAGATTTGCAGATGAAATATATATATAATCACGTGATTATTCCTCGTGTTGATTATAAAGCACAATTGTTAGTTTAGACAAATTCTCAAACAGAAAAATTAAATTCTACCTGTAGATATATGTTTAAAAGAAAAGCGTCATTACCACTTACTACTCCTAATAGTATTATACATTCATTATTGGGCTACGCTATCAAAGATATTAATACGATTCAAGCTCAAAGACAGTTAAGTAGATTATACAATCAAATGATATCAAAGGGTGTGATGAAAGATATTTTTGAAGTAGATTGTAAACAATTGCAAAGTGAATTATTATTTAATAAATCTCCATTAGCAATATGGAATATTAGTTTAAAAGATTTACAAGTAAAACATTATTTGTTAGCTTGTGTTTTAGCACTTTTATACGACAATATGTTAACCATAAAATCAAGTGGTGTGAAAGTTAACCAGATTCAAGGGGGATTAATACCAATAGTAGAAATATGTACACACAAAGAAATATTTACAAAGGGAATTAGTAAGGAACTGAAAGGGAAAAATGTTTATTTTGCTAGTCAGTTAATGTCGTCAGATGGTACATGTCTTTTGAGATATAAAGATTTGAAACACAGAACTAAGATAAATACACAAGGTAGAATCCCTAGTTGGTTCAAGTTTATAGAAACTAAGCTTATTGAAGCACCTTTAAAATCTAAGAAAGTGAAAACTGATTATCAATTAGGATATAATATACATAGTGTAGACATAAAAATTGATAATTTAAAAACAAAAAATTGGATAACAACCTTTCATGATAAACCTATAATAGGGCGTGTTTTAGATAATTCAAATGAGGACAAAATTTGTATAGAACATTGGATACAAGACCTAGAAAATGATCAAATATCACCATCAGTACAGTTACCAATCCTTAAAAAATGTGGAAGATGTGAAGTGAAAATGAATCAAATTAGAAATAAAAAAAGTAACATTAAAGTAAGGTTTATAACAGATATTAATATAGAAAATTGTGTTAAAATTAATGCAAATTTAATACAAAATAATTGTTATATAGCAGATATGGCTATTTACGAGGCGTTAGCTCAAGCGGAATGTAAATATTACAGAAAAACGTCTATAAATGAATGTATTATTAAAAAAGTAAATGGCTTATTCAAATATATACATCCAAGTGATTATCGTAATGTGTTGATAGAAATTGCAAATAGTTTAACGCAAGAAACTGATATAGAGATTTATACAGATGGGTCAATGAAAAATGTAGCGACTAGCGAAATATTGATAGATTATGCATTTGTAATTAATGCTCCTATAAAGAAAAGTTTTAATTGTGAAATTGTAGATAATCTGTCCTCTAATAAGACTGAATTAATGGCAGTGATATTAAGTTTAATGATCTGTCCTAAAGCTGCAAATGTTGAAATATATAGTGATTTTCAATGGGTAGTTAATACATTTAATGATTTAAACTTTTTGACGATTAAAGATATAGAAAGATCAAAAGTTAATTATAAGGTTTTATGGTTATGTTTATTCAAGATAATTAGGATCTATAGTCTCAAAGTAAAGATAATTAAAGTTAAAGCGCATGGTGATTGTGATTATAATAAGGAAGCAGATAAGCTCACTAGATCTGGTGCTGAGAAAAATGTATTAATAATAGAGGATAAATTGTTATTACACAATGGTACGATTTGTTGGAGAGATATGCTTATAGAATGTAATCCCATTCTTACGATAAAGGGAATCAAGGACGTTCAATTTATAGAAGAATTTCTAATGCTACGCCGTAATAAAGTTTATAGACAATCAGATCTATTAAGGCTGATAGATTGGAAAATATCTTTAAAGTTAAACAATATAAATCAATATGATACATTGTTTGAAGATCATTATTTACAATCATTTAAGATTAAAATTTGTTGTAATGAATTACCAACTTGTGCTAATTTAAAAAAGTGTAAGCCAGATCTATATGATAAAGATTGGAAATGTAATTTTTGTAAAATAGAAGAAGAAACCTTTGAACATTTTTGGAAATGTAGTAAAATTCAAAATGTTATGCAAGATATAATCAAACGATTAAAAATTTTTTTAGTTAAAATTATACAGAAGTATTCAAGAGATGATATAGATACACAAGAATTAAAAAGTAAAATTAATGGGCTTGATATGTGGGAAATTGGATGCTTATATGATTTTACATTTTTAATGAAGAATCAAGTCAGTTGTCAGTTAATAGAATTTTTAAGGTGCTTTAAAATAACTGAAGAAAAATTGTTATATAAGGTGCTGAAGCAAATAACTGGGAAAGTTTTATTAGAATTCAAAGTGCTTATTTGGAAACCAAGGAACGAGTTACAAATAAAGGAAGAAAAGTGATGCGGTATTAGTGATAAAGATAAAAAAGCTAAGTTACATAATAAACGCACTGAAGTGGATGTCAAAGATGTTGACTGTAATATGTTAGAAAGTAATTGAAATAAATAGAATGATTTGGCATTCCATCGAGGTGGTCATTGGGCAAATTTTTAGGTAGATCATGACAGTCACCTTTGAATCTGAGGTCGCATCATGGTTTTTAACAATGATGTGATCGTTTAGGTGACAGGTCAACTTGTTCTTTATAAAAAGTAGTCTTGTTTCATAATGCTTAATTCTTATATGTATTTGTTTATCTTATATTTGTAAGTTTATATATGTAAGTAAGCGTGATTATAATAAGACATGATCGCATCTATAATAAAGTTTAAAAAAAAAAAAAAAAATATTATGAAATATATTATAAGTATATTTTAAATATATAAAAAATATTTTAAATTTAATTTAAGTATAATTTAAGTATAATTTAAGTATTTGGGCAAAAATTAAATATATTAGAAATACATTTTAAGTATATTTTAAATACATTTTAAAAAGTTTTTAATTATATTTAAAATATAAATACTTTTTATAGGGAAGAAGTCCCATCAGTTTGCAATTTAAACGCTTGTCTTTGCCATTGATATTGTAATACTAAATAGAACTTTCTTATTAACAGATTCTTTAATAGTTAATTTGTAATCCGTCAGTGAACCATAAAACTTGGCTATTAAATTTTGGTGAAAGTTATATATATATTTACTAATAGCGTAGAATCTACAGTTTCACCAATGCAAGGTACAAATTACTAAAATATTATATAAAAACTAATATTATAGGCATAAAAATATGCCATTTGGCTATCTTAATAATAAAAGACTGGTAAAAATTTTAAGCACCAAAAGACACTTTCATAAGAGCTGAAAATTTGAATTTGAAAAAAAGAAAAATTTAGTATTTTAAAATTTTAAAGATAACTCATCGTCTAGTGGTCGTAGGAAAATAAAATTTAGTTCATCGGATTCGTCTCATCAAGATGCATCTAATAGTAATGATTTTATGTCTCTATGACTAATAGAAGGCAAGTTATCCCATATTTTTTCTCCAGAATCGCAGATTCTAAATTATTGATAAAAATATATATGAACTTATCACCGCCTTTTAATAGTCAAATTTTATGGTTCACTAACAGATCCCGAATTAATGTATAAACACATTTACTTCAAATTTGATCAATATAATATAATGGCATTAATGTATGTGTTTAAGTTCTTATTGTAATTACATTTATTTCAGATGGAATTGATTCAAACCAGCATGCATGAATGAATTCTATATGAAAAACAGCTTTATCAGACTGAATAAAAATGTGATACTGATGACGATGTAATCATCAGATACTAAGTATAATTGGATGATCACGTAATCTAAGGATAAATAGTATACTGAAGGTCACATGACTGGATAAATAATTAGTCAGGAAGATAAACATGTGGAAAATAGAATGATCTACATGATGTAATATTTATTGAATGAAATGGAGATTATATAAGATTAATTAAGGAGTCGATCAATTTTTGATATAATAACTAGTTTATTAAGTTTATCAATAAAAATAATCATGAAAAATAATTATTAATCATAAAAGATAGATTTAAAATATTTTCTTTATAATAGTTTACAAGATTATTTCTTGAAAGGATTGTTTCTTTATGATAGAATATATTTTTTTATGATGTAATATTTGAAAAATTAATTTTAAAGATTATTTTTAGGGTATTTTTATAATTTTAGAGTAGTAAAAATTAAATATCAAAATGTATAAATATAGGTGAAAATCAATAGGAATTCCACAGTTCAGAATATTTTAATTTTGTAATTCAAAAATTTTAATAAAGTGTTAAATAAATAATTAAAAGTAATATGGTTCGCCCTAACTTTTATTAATTATTTTTACCTTATTAAAATAATGATTACAAGAAGAAATATAAATATAAACTTTTGTAACAAGAATTATTAAAGTTTAAAAGTTGAAATAAATATATACTTTGTAGTGAGAGCTATTGAAGTTTGGAAATAATAATAAAGAGAATAAATTTGAGAAAAATTTAGAAAAGTTAATTTATTTTATATTTCTTGATGTTTTGTATTACTAACATAATTTGATTTATGTGAACTGAAAAAATTGTTGTTTGATATATTTTGTTTGATCATTTGTTTGATTTTATTTGTTCGATCATCCATGAGAATACTGATTCGACATAGTAACTCTTTATATTGATGAAAGAAGGAATCAGGGGATTTCAATGACATAGCATTTCTTGATTGATGATATTCATACAAATACAAAGTAATGTTAAGTCTTTAAAAATTATAACATAATATGGTTTAGATACTGGAATTACTGCAATGTAAGAAACTTTCTAAAGTTTTTCAATTTCATTATTAAGTATATCTGATAAAAACTTTTGAATACAAATTTGAGATGTATTATATAAATGTTCAATAATATCATTAGATAAATCTGATTCTTCAACCTAAATAAAGAATAAAAAAAAAATAAAAATCAAGTTAAATTATTACATCATACTTCCCAAATAAATTTTTTTAATACTATATTACATTCACCTTACCCTAACTCTAACTATTAACTCCTTTTTCAACATAAATTTACTATACCATATCCATCTTACTCTAACCCTAACTAACTCTTTATTTAACGCAAATTCACTATACTATACATCCTTACCCTAACCCTAAATAACTCCTTTTTCAATATACTTTAATGTATTAATTTACCTGGTTAACTTCAACTAATATTCCTTGATAATAAAACTTGCTTCATTTGTGCACGTTGAAGAAATAATGGAATAGGTGCTAAATACTATAAGTCTGTAATATACAATCAATTTTTTTAAATATAGTGTTATAAGTTGATGGTAATCCAATTGATGGATTTGAACCATAGTAATTTTTGATTTAAGTATATTGTAATTTTTGTCCAACTCCTATTTAAAAACTTTTACTAATTCTTTTAATAAGGTACCCTGATCTAAATGCTTTTTAAGAATACCATTAATATATTCAACATGTTATATTGACTCAATTCCTGCTGTAAACACCTTTGCAATAGAATATCTTGTCTAAGATTCATAAATAGTATACAATTTTTTTTTAAAATAAGAACAGTAAACTTCATATTTTATAAGCATACTATTGTACCTTAATTCAAACTGATCTTAGCTATAGCTATTTCACATATGATAAAAATCCTTAATAAAGTTATATACCATTTCACCATATAGTTTGGATCTAGCTTTTTTCTTTATATTTTTGGTAATGTGATATATACATAATAAATAACATATTTGTGAATATACTACTTGAATTGCTGCATTCATTGCTAGGTCTTCATCAGTAAATAAAACTGCAGGAAAAATATGTGTTGCTTCTAATATATAGCATAATATCCAGTTATAATCAGCTTGTGTTTCATATTTTATTAAAGTCTGAGCAAGAACTCTAATTTTAAAGTTATTATCAATCTCAATGAATAAATTGAGAGTCATTTTATACCTATTTGTTTTAGCTGTACTGTCATAAATAACAACATCATGGAATTTAGACCATAATTCATTTTGTTGTTGACTAATCATCCAAAAAAGACCTGTGAGTTTATTGGATAAACCTTTTAAGCATGGTATAACCACATAATCATGATCTTGTTCACATTGCTTTAATAAATGTAAAAGCATTATTGTTACATCAGATTTATTATGAATTCTTAAAAGAAGAATTTTCTGATCTGGGACTTAATTTCTTTTTTAATTCGTACCAAAAATTTATTGATCATTTTATATAAAGTCAAAGGACACAGCAATAACATTTGAAACAACAAAGCTGATGAATTAGCAAATGCTGGCGCTTATATTAAAGGCCTAATAGTTATTAAAGCAGTCTAGGATTAATCACGTGAAATAATATATCTATTATAAATAGAAATATTTGATAATGGTCAAATATGATACAATATTTAACTCTATGATCAACAACTCTAACCTAAAACCATTAATGAATAATGATATAAATTGGAATTTTACCCGTGAATTATACATGCTGCCCAAATTATTTTTGGATGCCATAATTATAATTTGGGATGCCATAATTGAATTTGGGATTTTGCTTATAATTACGGCAGTCAAAAATAATTTGGGTGGCATGTATACCGTGAATAGATCAATAGTAACCCTTTTGACACACCTTGTAGTATAAAATTATCCAAAATCTAAGGTAACAAATTGAAGAAATGTAACTTTACATATTCTACTATTGATATACAACAAAGAAATTACCCTTATTTATATATACCCTTTTGGTATAATTTCCTGTGTAGAATGTCACGTGTTAAAAGATAACAATGAACATATCGGCTTATGTGCTGCTCATACTACAATTATATGGTTTGGGACACAACAATTCATCAAATAAAATTGTCCAAATTAGAAATTTAATAAAAATATTTTGGATGCATATATTTAAAATAACTCAACATAGTTTAATTGTCACTAACTTAAACTACAAAATGACGTTGAGATTATCCTGATTGGTGATCTAGATCAAAAATTATTAGCCTGCAAAGTTTAGTATTTTCTTAATAAACGGTAGGATTTGAAACATTTAATTCTGGCCAGAATTTGATAAAATTCTATAATTTAGGCCAGAACTATGACTGGCTGAGAGGTAATGTAGATCATAGAATTTTTTCCCATGGCACGACTAAAGAGACAAGCACAACACTGTCAAAAAATAGCTAAAAAAAGAAAAAAAGCTGGAAGATTTATTCCAGATTTTATTTTTGATAAAACATTTCCTGATATGGTTTAATTTTTAACCAATTGCAAATTAGTATTATACATATCACGTGATTTTTTTAAAATCTCAATTTGAAACAACTTGATGATTTGTTGTGTCTCCAACTATACAACAAATCATTTCTGATACATTTAACATATTATTTGAAGTTCTAATGAACGATGATGCTAGATGTAATTTATTATTAAAAAACACTATTGACAATTCATGTTTATTTGAACAAAATTTAGATCCTTTTTTATTAAAAACTCATCCTTTTTATTTACTTATTCATCATTTAGTCCCGAGAGACCTTACAGAAATTTTTTATAATTTTATACCCAAGACGAAAATTCTTTTGATTTATTCATTAAATTTATGAATATTATTATGGAGAAAATAAATAGTACTATTTGGAATCATCATAACACTACGGTAAAAGATTGGGAACGCAGCCTCAATATTAATAAACAAAAAAAGAAATTTTATAGACACCATCATAATTTAAGCTTGGATTATCCGAATTTGAATATGGACGATAATCGACAAAGAAATAATTACGTGGTTTGTTTTAATCCAAATCACTCCACTCCTTATAATCGTAGCAGTGGATTCTCTGATAATGGCGCCCACATTAAATGGATGTCAAGTAATTTTTTACATTCAGGTTCTTGGGAATCTCATAGAGATCGAATTTGATTCAATAAAATAGATTTATTCAATAATTTTTTTTATAATATTTCAAAATATAATTTAGATACTAGATAGTATTTTTATGTTTTCTCTTAATTTTTTTATTTCTTTCCAGGGTGGGGGAGTTCTGGGACAAATCTTGGATTTGGTCCATTTCTTTCCTCATCAAGGTCAGGAGTCATCGTCTGTTTGGTTCACCAGCTTGCGGTTTGGTTTTGTAGTGTTAGAGTTATTTTCGCGGTAGTATTATTAATTATTGTTGTTCTGATAATTTGTACTATCTTCTAAAACATAAAAATAAAAATAAGATACATATTAGTAGTTACTGCGTCATAGATTAATAAGTAAACTGCATAATCATGTATTTTTCCTAAAAAAATTTTCTAATTCTTAGAAATTTTACACAATCTTAAATTAAATTTTTTACTCCTGAGAATCACCCTTTTTGGAATGAAAACTGTGGCTTGTACGTAAAAATTCAATAAATAAAATCATGTCGCGATTGTTGCGTCATATAATTTTTTTATTTTATATGCTTTAAATTATCAATAATAGTAATTCAATTATATCAATGGTTATTATTATTTATAGGTTTCATAGTTTTTTTTTTATAAAAAGAAAATACTGCCAACATCCACTTTCTTCTAATATTCAACGTGATGCTGTGATTCTCATTTCTCAGGGTAATTTAGGATTGTGTTAAATTCCTAAGAATTAGGAAATTTTTTTAGGAAAAATATATGATTATAGCAATTGCGCCATATGGTAATATCTATCATCAATCTACGGAGTCGCCTGATTTAGTTATTATTTATAGGTTTCATAGTTTTTTTTTTTATAAAAGCCAACATCCAATATTCAACGTGATGCTGTGATTCTCATTTCTCAGGGTAATCTAGGATTGTGTTAAATTCCTAAGAATTAGGAAATTTTTTTAGGAAAATTATATGATTATAGCAATTGCGCCATATGGTAATATCTATGTCAATCTTGGCGATTTCACGGAGTCGCCTGATTTAGAAAAACTAGATATAATTAAGATTGGAAGATTAGGAGATTAGATTTAATATGGACTGGAATTATTCTTAACGAATCTTTTTAATCCTATTTTGACAATAAATTTCAAAAAAAAAACTATAAAATTTGATTGAGTTGGACTTATTATTCCTTTTTTAATACCATCAGATAACTTTGCTAGTGTAATTCTATCTAAACAAAAATGGTAATGCCTATAATTATATATGTATACAAAAACAAAATTTCATTAATAAAACTGAATGTCATCGTTTGATGTATGGTGATTCAACTGATTCATTATTGATTAGAAATACACTATATAAGGTGTGAGATTTTTCATTTCATGACCATTTTTTTGTCAGCAAAAAAAAAAAATTCCTATAATCACACTGGCATAAAATGGACCGATTAAGGATACCATCGTTACCATTACCAATAAATCCATCTTCATTTTTATTGCACACACTGCTTCCAATATTTTTAGTACTAACGACTTTCGGACCTGGTTACCAAACGATTTCTTCTTTTGCTATTATCTATTTTCCTCTTTCTGTGTATTACATAAGAACATGCACACGATGGTGGTGGATATTTTTATTTTATATAATGAATAGTATAGGATTTATGTTGGCATATATGAATACAATGAATTTTGGTGATGATTTAAGATGCTATAAAGGAATATCTTTTGGTTTCGGATTAATTGTAAGCTTGATAATTCTTATACCATACGTCTTTGATAGAATTGCTCAAAGCAAATTTTCAAGTGATGGATGGGCTAGAATTCTGATCTTCCCTTGTGTTTGGACTGGAATATGGACTATTTTTTTATTTTCGTGGCCATTAGGTGATTGGGGAAATTATGCGTAAGTTTAATATCATTTTCAATATTTGTTTTTTCTTTTCTTTTTCCTTTTCTCCCCCTTTTTTAGGAAAGAACCAATTTTCTTTTTTACTTCTTTGTAGATTTACTTTATTAAATTACGAAGAGATTATGCAGTTGGCATCATTTGCAGGATTAGGAGGAATAAATTTTATATTGTCATGGAGTGGTCCGATAGGAAGTGATATAATATATTATCACGTGACAAAGAATCAAAATTCATCTATGCCAACAACGAGCACTGGTTCTGTTGTAGTTGATGAAATATCAATTGAAAATAACAGCACTGACACTGTATTAAGACATCCACCTACTCGAACTCCTAAAAGGAGTTTAACATTACCAACATTTATTAATTCATTGAGTATTTATATTTTTGTGTTGTTTTTGGTTATCACTTACGGTAGCATTAGATTAAATACTAGTTTTATACCGTTTTATCAAAAAAGTATTAAAGAAACTTTTCCTCAAGAATTGGTTAATTTTGGCTGTGTTTTAGGAAATTCCGATAATCAAATAGATGATTATATGAGTTACGTAAACCTAACCCAAAATTTGGCAATTTCAGGTAACAAAATTATTCTTTGGTCAGAAGCAATGACCGGAATAATTAATGAAACGGATCTCAACTCATTATACGAATCAATTAGAAATATCAGCATATCTTATAATGTATACATTGGTTTTACTTACCTTGATGCTACTAACCACCCTAATACTACTATATATAATAAACAAGTAGTTATCAATAATAAAGGTGATGTGGTTATAGATTATAAGAAAAGTAATTTAGTACCTTTTGTAGAAGCTAATTTTATAACTAAGGGTAATAATAAGTTGCAAACTTTCCAAAGTGAGGATTTTGGAATTATTGGATCCGCCATTTGCTTTGATTTTGATTTTCCTAAATTAATTGGTCAAGCACCTTCAAAGAAAGTTAATTTAATGTTGGATTCTAGTTATACTTGGGTAAGTTAATTTATTAAAATTTCTTCCTTTTATTGTTATAATTTAGCTCGCTAACGAGGAAAAATTTTAATAATTAAATTCTTAAAAATCTATGTGAATATAATTTATAGGGTAAGTACCGTATAATAAATTTATATTAAATATTTTTTTTTTAAAAAAAAAATTTATATACATAAAATAATTTTTTTGGCCCAAAATTGAACTTCTTTATTGTACAGGCCCGGTTGGACCATTACATGCACGTATGAATTCGATACGTTCAATAGAAAATGGATTTACAATATTTCGTTGTAATTCGGATGGAGTTTCAGGAATATGGAATCAATATGGACATCCATTACATTTCATTCCAACAGTGAATACAAACACGACTACTTTTCAAGTTCCAATCAACGTGGTAAAGAATAGAGTTAAAACTGTTTATTCTGTATTTGGTGAAACTTTTGGATGGATTTGTGTCGGTGGTATCGGTATTTATTTGATTGTTATAGTTGTAGCGATAAAAGGCAGTGATCAATGGAAAGCTAGAATTATTCATTGGTCATAAAAAAGACTTTGTTTACCTTATTAAGAATATCCATGCTGCGGTGATAATCATTTGTCAATCGGAGTGGTAAAAATATTTCCGTTTACTTAAACCAAAATTATCCTTATTTTGGTATCGTAAACCTGTTTATCTTATCATAACTAATTAATTAGGAATACTATCTCTTTTTCTAGTAACATGCTTTTGCCTTTATTTTAATTATTCATAAAATGTTTAAATGTATTTATAAACTTTATATAATTTTTAAACGTAAACGAAAAAAGTCAACGTATAAAAATAGTAAAGAGATTAGAATGTTCGATAAAAATTTATTAAATTCAATATCATCTACCCAAGATTCTTGTAATATTATAATTAAAGTAGGTAAAAAATTACCAGTCGAAGAATTAACCCCTATTAAAAATTCAAATAACAATAACCCCTTTAGAGATAAGGAATTTTTAAGTGAAATTTATAATCAAAATTATAAAGAATTTCATGTTCACAGTTCCATTCTCTTGAAAGATATTAAATCAAAATATTTTTATAATGCATTGTCTAATTTTACTAATAATAATGATTTGAAAAGTACTGAAAAATGTATGATAAAAGAAAATCAAATTATTGTATTAGAATTACCTGATATTAATCCAACAATATTTGAAGTTATTCTTGAGTAAGTATGATCATAAAAAAACTTACCTTTACATTTACTACTATATGTTTTTAATAATAAATCTTATTTATATTCTTTTTTTTATTTTTTAATAGGTTCGTTTATAATGGAAATTTGGATATTAATAATTTCACTGCTCAAGAAATCGTGTCGCTTTTATTCGCAAGTTCTTATCTTGACCTAAAAAATCTTACTTCTCGTCTTTTTACAACCCATTTCACTAAAATTATTCACGCATTAAATACTTCTTATTCTACAATTAATCACTTTGATGAAACAATTTATTCACAAAAGATTGACCAAAGAAGATATATAATCAATCATTTATGTTTGGAATATTCTTCAGTAATATTTGGTTCAAATTACTATTTATCATTTTATAAAAATTTCATTCATGATATATTATTATCAGATGATTTGATTATGAATGAATTGGAAGTTTGGACAAAATTAATTAAATGGGGAATCTTTAATTCTGATATTTCCCAAAAATTTTCTTTACTTTCTTCTTCAAATATCACGTTAAATGAATTAATTAAAGATTTTTCTGGAAAGGATTTTACAAAACTTGGAGAAAAAATCAAAGATTTAATACCGTTAATTAGATTTTATCAAATCGAGTTAGATGATTATTTTAAAGAGATTGGATACCCATTTAAAAGTATTTTACCGGAAGGATTAAATAAAGGTATATTTAAATATAATATGAAGAAAGAAATTTTTTCAAATAATAATAATATATTACCACCTAGAAAATATCAAAAAATTGATTCAACTATTATAGTAGGTGAACAAACTGCTTTATTAGCTAAATGGATTAAAGAATGTAATTTTGGAGAATATTTAAAAGTGGAAGATGATTTTGATTTTAAATTATTGTTTAGAGGAAGTAAAAATGGTTTTGATATTGGTACTTTTCATAAAAAATGTGATGGAATTGATAATACGATCGTTATTATCAAGATTAAAGATTCTGATGAAATTATTGGAGGGTATAATCCTTTCTCTTGGCAAAGTCTTTTTAATATTGGTCTACAATCTTTTCCTTACGAAAATTATAATGTTCCTTGTTCATCAAGTTTTCTTTTTTCTTTAAATAATACTCGACTAGGAAATGATTCTAAGAACGTTTTGAGTAAAATTAAAGAAAATCAGATTAATGAAGCGATTTATTATAATCAAACTGGTGGTCCAAAATTTGGTAAATCTGATTTGTATTTAGTTAATATTTCAAGCCAAGAAAATTTAGTTGGTCATTGTAAAAAATATTCTTATTCTCATCAAATTACAGCCAAATCTTTTTTTAAAGTTGAAGATTATGAAGTATTTCAAGTTATAGTCAATTAATCAATTAAGATAGAGTGAAATAATAGATGGATTCAGGGATATTAAACGTATTATGGGGAATGGGGAATGGGGAATAATGGGAATTAGACATGGTGCGGATACATCATAAAGACATAGAATAATAAGTACGTCATTACTGCTAAACTTGAAGGAAATTTTAGACAGAAAGGGTCTTTTAATTCTTATCAACATAGAAGCTTTATATATTTTAATGGCGAAAATTGTAATATAAAAATTTCTTATATTATTTGTCAACTTTATTTAATTTGAGTACATAAAATAATAAAAATACTGTATTTTAAAAATTGGTCAATTCATGTAAAAATAATTTTTTTTTTTTATTACGATATAAATTAATTAATTAGAATCAATTCACGTGAATACAGTTGGATTACACATAGCCACCCCGTATAATTAATTATTTTGGCCCGAATTATTGCAATCTTGGGCGGCATTATGTGCATAAATGTTGTAATTGTTTCCCCAATTGAGTCAATTCCTCATATTAAATTGTTCCATATTATCCGTTTTAAAGATCACTCAATAAAATGAATTATGAAAATACTCAAAATTTGTCCAGGGATTTTCTAAATCTACTTAAAAATACTAACGACTATAATGTAAAAATTATTGTCGGTAAAGAACCAAGTATTAAAGAATTTAAGGCGCATTCTGTTGTCTTGTCTTCTAGGTCTCTTTATTTTCAAAAAGCATTGTCCACACAGTGGGCAAGAAGAGAAAATGGAATTATTATTTTCCAGAAACCCAATATTTCGCCTTTTGTGTTTGAAGTTCTTCTTAAGTGAGTTGTTTGTAAAAAAAATCAAAAAAGAATTTTTATTATCGGGCAAAAAGCCAAATTTTTATTTTATTTTTATATATGTAGATATATTTATACAGGAAAACTCTCTATTGAGAAGAATAAAATTAGTTTTGTCGATGTTTTTATTGCATCCGACGAACTTGAATTAATGGAAGTTTGTCAACAAATTGAAGAACGATTGCTTGAAAATGAATCTGCCTGGAAGCTCCCAATAGATTATATTACAATTTGTCAATATGAAAATTTCACTAAATTAAATGACGTTGCATTAGCATTAGTGTGTAGAAAACCTCTGGTTATGTTTGAATCAAAAGAATTTTTAAGAATGGAAGAAAAGTATCTAATCAAACTTTTAAAAAGTGATGATCTAGAATTAGAAGAAATTAAAATTTGGGAATATTTAATTAAATGGGGAATTGAAAATACTGATATTATTTTGGATAATGATTTAACGAAGTGGACGCCAATGGATTTCACGGAACTAGAAAAAACTTTGCATAATTGTATTCCTCACATTCGATTTTTTCACATGTCTCCTAATGAGTTCAGTGTAGTTAGAGCTCAATTTAAACAAGTTCTACCGGATGATCTTGTTGATGATGTTTTTCAATATTATTTAAATCCAAAATCCAAACTCAGATTTCAAGTTTTACCGTTAAGAGAATCAGCATATAATTTTAACTCGAATATTATCAAGGCTAAAGATGCAGCAATCATCGCAAGCTGGATCGATAAGAAAGAAGTAATACTTTATCATTTTAGAAATATTCCCTTCAAATTTGAGTTGATTTATCGTGCTAGTACTGAAGGTTTTAAAAATTTTCATAAAAATTGCGATAATAAGGGACCAACTGTTGTTGTCATAAAGGTTCGTGATTCAGGGGAGATAATTGGCGGGTATAATCCATTGGATTGGCGTAGTGTTAAATTAGCAGAAAATTCTCCATTATTATCTTATAACAATGAAATTTATAATAATTATAAATGTGAAATATCAACTAGTTTTATATTTTCATTAACAAATCGAGCGATTCCTATATTAAGTCGAGTCTCTTCTAGAAAAGAAGCAATCATATGGTGTGGAGACAAAGGACCATGCTTTGGTTTACAAGATTTGTGGATCCAGAATGGTTCTTTACCTCATATTATTGTTGGTAAATGTAAACAACGCTCTTATGAAAAGAAAATTATTGATAGGGAAACTTTTGAAATAGAAGAATACGAAGTATTTCAAATTATTGATAATAGAAACTATTTTTTGAATTTTATTGGTAGCATATTTGGATTTATTGCGAGGGTAATTCGAGACATACTTAGTTAAAAAAGTGTATTATGATCTGTTTATAATCTAATTTAATGTTGTTATTAGCATTGATCTTATATCTCAGCTCAATAGGTTTTGCTATTATAATTTTTTGATGGTTATTGTTGTAATAGATTCATATTAAGAACATATTAAATATCAAAAACTAATATTAATTAATAAACGCTGACACCTTCATGATCTATTAATTATCTAAGAATTTATTATGCTCTTCGATTGCATTGTAATTTACCCTCGCTCGAAACTTTGATTAATGATGCAGGGGATCAAACGATTTCTTAAACTAGTATGATTTAATTAAATTGCGACTGTTACACGAAATTTCGATTGCATTGATATTCTCACAGATCCTTTTATTGATAACAGAATGTTAATCTCTTGCCATATATGTGTAGACTTATTTAAATTGTTAGATAATTGTTACGATTAATTGTTTCAAAAAAATTGTTTTACTCTTTTTTTTTAAAAAAAAAACGAGAAAAAAAAAAAATTCTTTTGATCTTAAATTATAACTTTAATATCTTCATATCATGGCAGTTAAAGTCTTAGATGATTATTATTTAGCAATAACAGCAATAATAACAATTGGATATCAACTAATATTTTTTTCCGTTTCTTATGGATTTCAAATTGATTCAGGTAATTAACTAATAATATTAAAGTAAAAAAGAGTATGTTTTTTAAATACTAAGAATTTCGTTAATAATTTGTTTATATCGTTATAGTAACTGATTTTGGAGGTAATTTACCATTTTTTCAAATTAACGTTATTACCGTCAAGAGCTAAATTTTTTTTTAATAGGTGGCAGCAATGTTGCTATTTTGGCTATATTAACACTTATTTTTTGTCAGGTAAATTGTAAAAAGTTGTATATTTATTATCCTATTTTTTTGTTAATAGTTCCTTCTTTTTTACGAATAGACATGGTATGTTCGACAAATAGTCGCTACAATATTTGCAGTTATATGGGGAGTAAGATTAGGATGTTAGTGAAATTATTTTATTTTATCATTATTTTCGAATCTCGATTATTGTTGATCTAAATTCCTTTTTTCTTTTTTAGTATTTTGTTTGTATCGAATGTTAAAATCAGGACACGATTCAAGATTTGATAATATAAGAGGAAGCTTTAAATCATTACTATTTTTCTATATATTTCAAATGATGTGGGTTTGGACAATTAGTTTACCCGTTATATTCTTAAATTCTCCAAGAATAAGTGGTAAAGAAGAAGCCGGTAAAGATGTTGAATTCGGTAGTGTAACTGATATCATTGGTATAATAATATTTTCTATTGGCATATTAATCGAATCTATAGCTGATATTCAAAAGGTAAATAATTAAATAGTTCACGTAATATTTAATCCATCATTATATTGCTAACATACTTATATATACGATAGTTTTTTTTCAGACAAAGACGTACATCACCAGTACAATTTATAAATACAGGACTTTGGGCATGGAGTAGACATCCAAACTATTTTGGTGAAATGATGGTAAGATTGTTATTATTATAATTAATTATATTTTTCGCGACTAATTACTAATATAATAATTTACTTATTTTAATAGTTATGGTCGGTTAAGAAGAATTACCAATTTACTAATTACCATTAATCTATGATAAACTCTTTAACTCACATTTTTGTTATTGTAATTTAGGACTGGAATGTTTTTATTATGTTTGCAACCTACTATTACTGGTGTAGGTACAAATGCTGCTTACGCTTCGATAGCTTCTCCCGCATTCACAATATGTAAGTATTCCTTTTTCATTTGTGGAATCATTTCTTTTCTTCTTTCTAAACTTTCTCTTCTTTTTCCAAAGTCATACTTATGTTTTTGAGTGGAATGCCATTAAATGAACGCCCAGCTCATGAGAAACAATGGAAAAATGGAAATTGGCCTGAATATTCAAAACATCTTAAACGTACTTCTGTATTAATTCCGTTTCCACCTTTTCTTTATGAGCCTTTACCACAGATAATCAAAAGTACTTTATTTTTAGAGTTTCCCATTTATAGGTTTGTTCCTGATTCAGAAAGTAGAGGGTTGACTAAAAATGATACAAATGTAGATGATACGAATGGAGAGGGTACAAATGGAGACGGTGCAAATAGAGATGGAGCAGGTAGTGATGGTGTTGGTGATGGTGAAAATAATAATTCATAATGCTTATTTTATGTGTTTAATTGTATAAAGGATTATTTTATATATCTATATCTAATATCCCTTTAACCTACTTATTTCATTTTTTTTTTCTACAATAATTTGTTTACAATTTTTGAGAATCATTTATATTAAACTATTAAGTAATATCACTAAAAGAGTATGTGAAAAAAATATATCAAAGAGAGAAAAAATGTTAAGTCAATATATTAATAAAGGAAATAAAACTAAATAATATTAATATACTTTTGTCTTTATTTCTAATTAATATCAGAACTTTTTCCAAATAATGATTTCTTGTCTTCCTTATTTATTATTAAATAAAATATTATAATTAGTCACTATATCATAATAAGCATTTGAGAAAAATACAGTACTTATATTAAACCAAAAATTTGTTAAAGTTGTAAACTTTTCTGATGTTAACAAATATATTATTTAAATCTATAGCTAATTATACTATTTGTTTTAACTGTTTATTTAATTCTAATTTTTCTAATTTACTAATTAGTATAAATTAAAGTAAAAACCAACAACTTTTATATCTTTAGATTTTTCTTTAATTTATAAAATTCATTTTTATCTTATATTTTTTCCTTTAAAATTATAAAGCCTATTATTTCATAATTTTTGATTTTAATTTATATTTGATTTTTTTTAATAACTTAAATGCTTCTTTATTTTTTATTATCAATAAATATAAAAAAACAAATAAATTATTCTTTAAAACTTATTTAAATAATACTTTTAAAGCCAATACTAATAATCTTTGCAATCTTTTATAATTATTACATTTTTTTTTAAATTATAATTTTATATATAAAAATAATTTGCTTTATTTTTAAAGAAAATAGTTATATTAAATTTGCTATCCCTTAAACTGGTTTGCAGCCAAATTTGCCTGCAATTTTATTTTTTAATTAAAGCCACTTTTAAATACCTTAAAATATTTTATTACATAAACTAATATTTTTATAACAAATTCTATAGTATTTTCTAAGTAAAAATCGAAAAAAAAGTTCAATTAATGATTTTTTAAAAGTAAATGATCGACAAATTATAACAAATAGTAGCTAAATTTTTTAAATTGAAATATCTTTTTATCCATTAACCCTAGAAATATAAAATTACCACCATTTGATGCGTCTTAATGAGAAGAATCTGATAGAAATAAAATTGTCCTTCCACAAATATTATGTGACAGAATAACTTATAAAATCTAAAAATTTATGAATTAATATAACTTTTTATTTATCAATTTTAGAGTTATGATTTTATTACCATTAAATACGTCTTAATAAGAGGAATCTAACAAATATAATTTCATCTTTCTATGATCACTAGATCTTAAGATATTGTAAAAATTCAAAAATTTTTAAAATTAATTTTAGACTCTATAGTTTAAGGGATAAAATAATATTTAGTTAAATTGATTAATTGTAAATAAAAAAAAATATTTAAATTTAAATATAATAAAAATTTATATTAAAAATTATTACAGTTCACCCTTTTATAGTAAATTTTTATTTTTTTTTATATATAATAAAATAGCTTTTTAATAATATAATAAATTTTTTACTATAATAAATTTAATTTCCAACTTATGGAATTTATTATAATAAAGGTGAACTGTATTATATATTAAAAAATTATATTTCATAAATCATTTACTAAAATAATAAATATTTTTAATATAATTTATAGAGTATCATTATTTGGCAATCTATCACTATGGTGATTCTATCATATAACTTAATAATTGTCCAATTGCCTAATACTATCTAATATAATAGGGTGGACATGCTTATTATCACTTTGCCAATCATTTGCCAATCACATATATATTGATTATTATGTTTATTTTGAAGCTCCAAGCAAAATCATATTTGCTAGAAAAATTGTACTAATTATTTTATTTGGTAGTTTAAAATACCCAAAATATACTATAAAATTATAAAGATAAAGTTAGCTTTGAGCTGAAATTTTTAATAATTATAGTATTAGCCAATCATATGCCAATCACCTGCTAATTTGACTTTGAAGCTTTGGGCAAAACCACAGATGTTTGGGCAAAACTTGAAACTTTTATAGTATATTATTTAGATATTTAAAAATCCATGATTAAAATAAACATGAATAATTTTTAATAAACAAAAAGTTATCATTAAATACATACTTGCAATTATTGTAAGATTAATAATATAAGGCTAATATTTAGTAAAATCTTCATGAACTATTTTATGAATTAATTTATTAATAGTATATAAATAAAGTAAATAAAATCAAAATTTTATACATTATTATGTAGAATTTGCAAAAAAATAAACTCAACGGTATTTTTTTGTGACAATATTGAACAAATGATCAGCAAAATAATTGGTAATATCGTGATAATATGAGAATGTCCGCCCTGTTATCTAATATACAGTCAACTCTCTTTATAGTCACATATTTAGGACAGTTCATATTTGGTGATTATAAAGAGATGTGACTATATAAAAAATTTCTTATATTAGTATATCATAATTCCAGCCAAAAATTAACATAATTTTGGCCAAAATTATACTTAAAACTTTATTGTATTGTAACTCTGCCAATATTAATCATAAAGAGATAATCTTACCGCCATTCGATTCGTCTTGATGAGACAGTTCTAATGGCATAAAATACATTGAAATCCAATCACTAGATTAATTTCCGAAATTAAAAAAATATTAATGGTTTTTGTGTAATAACTCTGTCAATATTGATCTTAGAGAGACGATCTTACTACCATTCGATTCATTTTGATATGACGAATCTAATGGTATAAAATACATTGAAATCCAATCACTAGATCAACTTCCGAAATTAAAAATATTAAATGGTTTTTAAGTAGTAACTCCGTCAATATTGATCACAGGGAGATGAGCTTACCACCATTTGATTTGTCTTAATGAGATGATTCCAATGAGCTATTAATTATCTTTTTACTTTGCTAGTGTTTACGGCCAAGCTTTCCTCTACCTTTTTTTGAGGCATCTTTGGGCTAGTATCCAATCATTCCCTAGAGGTCACCATTAAACTGAATACTTAATTCCTCAGGTAACAGAACCATATTTAAGGGACATTCCCCATTGAGCCACTTTTAAGGCTGATCTAAATCTAGAAATACGCTGCCTACTCATCTTTAACCCATTGCATGATACTGGTATTCAATTTATTTTACAACCTTTAGAGAGCATCTACTTTTATAAAGGATTTTTGATAGGTAATATCAATCATCTAGTACCCTTCCATACCACCATTTTAGGTACAAGGTCTCACTCAAAGGCCATTACAGCCCGCAATTATCCAACACCGATAGTACAGTTGTTTACTCCAAGTGGTCCTAGATGATAAAGTCCCTTCCTCCTTTTCAATTGTAGGTAGCCAATGAAGTACCTACAACTGTGGTAGTTTTGGTCATAGGCCCTTGGCCTTCTAATGCATGATAGACCATGAAGGAATATTCATGCACAGCATAGGTAGCATGGTTATAGGGTTTAATTTCCCATTTCTTAGGTCCTGGTTGGTGATCCCTGGTAGTTGATATCCATTATAAGAGGTGATCCTGAACAGATGCCTGCTACTTCCTGTCTGAATGGTCACTACAAAATATACCACTTGGAGTAAACAACTGTACTAATAGAGTTGGTAAAGTCAGTCCTAGTCCAGTTTTAGTCCTAAGACTTGCAAGTCCTATCTAAGGTTGCTTGCTGAAACCTAGGGGTTTAGGCAAAATGGCGTTTCACCAAAAAGCGAAATTCTGCCAAAACTATATTAAAGTTATATTAAAAAACTGGCAAAACTTTGGAGAAAGGCGAAATTGCCGAAACTTATTATAAATGCCGAAACTGCTAAAACTCTGCTGAAACTATAATAAATCTATAGTAAAATTTTGATGAAACTAATCGTAGGATTTTGAAGAAGTTTAAACAAGCAACCTTAGTCCTATCTGATGGACCTACAAACTAAGTTCATATATGATTAGTCCAGGACTTGTGTCCGACCAAATCCAGTTCTGAACTAGATCCTAAGACTCAGTACTAAACCAGTTTAACATATAACATTTATTATAAATTCTGTATTAAAAATATCAAAATTTCTTTTTTTTTATCATTTTCCTTAAAATTAATATAAAAACATTATAAAAATAAAATAAAAACTTCAAAAAAATATACTAAACGTTTTATTTGTATAAATGATGATCATATGTTAATATGTTATACAACGTAATACTAAATACTGCATTTAATAAATAAAATATATTTGAATTACTTCAACTGAATTTGTTTACCAATATTATTCTCAATCCAACTTTTTGTACATAACGAAGCTCTTGCAGTCTCTGGACATAAACGATTTTGAACTTTGGTAATTGTATTGCCTGCAACAGAAAATGTTTGTTCACAGACTACACTTGTAGATTGTATTGCTAAGTAGTCTTTTGCCATTAGTGAGAGTACCGGAAATTCAGTGAAGTGGGCTTGCCACCAAAGAAGCGCTTCCACATTTTCATCATATAGCAAAGCTAGATATCTTTCTATTTCAGCAAAATCAGGGTTAGGTGAGGGTGGTAGTGTTGTTTCAGCAGTTAGTACAGTCAACTCCCTCTATAGTCACTCCCATTATAGTCACATTCTACTATATAGTTACACCAGTTTAATGTTCAAAACACTTTATTATTAAAATCTATCCTATATAGTCACAATCTATCTATAGTCACTATCACACCTATCCTCAAAAATCTTATATTAAAAANCCGTTTATAATCACAGTTATATAAAGAATATATTAAATAACTTGGCATCTAATAATCGTACAAAGATGTATCATAGCTTGTTAGAATCATCTCACTGAAACGAATCGAATGGTGGTAGTTTTATCCTTTTCTGATCACTGGCTAACGAGTTATTCAACAAAATGTTAAACATCAGCATTATAATATTTCTTGATTTACATTTACTGCGCCATTTAACATTTTGCTAGATTTCTCGGTACCTAGTGATTTTAAAAAGACGTTTTATAGCTCGTTGGAATCGCCTCATCGAGACGAATCGAATGGTGGTAAGCTCATCTCTCTGTGATCAATATTGACAGAGTTATTACTTAAAAACCATTTAATATTTTTTAATTTCGGAAATTGATCTAGTGATTGGATTTCGATATATCTTATACCATTAGATTCGTCGCATCA